CTTGATCGAAAGACTTTTTGTATTCATTGTATAAAAGAAGCAAAAAGCTAATAAAAATAAGTACTCGTATTATTATCTACTTTATGAAATACTGGCCTCTTAGTTTTGCGTATGATTTTCTGTTGAATAAAGCAAATTCGAAATTGATCAGCGCCATAGTTTAAACAAAAACCGAATTCAAACTTTTTGGACATTTAATTTTAAGACATTGCTCGATTAGCTCAAATCCCCGCCTGAATTTTGCTCGAAACCGAGAAAAATCGACGATATCTCACGACTAAGCTACTTGTGGGACATTTGATTGTTTTTGTTTCAGTGAAAAGATCTCAAGAACTTAATAAAAATCTAAATTAGACTTTGGAAAACTTTAATTGAACCAATTTTAAATTAGACATCTTCGAAAAGCAAATTTTTTTACCATTTTATAAAATAGATCTTAGTTTAACTAGTCAGAATAGGTCGATTTTCTTGACAACCAGAAGCATTTTAGGATAAAGCTTTAACGCACTGCACGTGTATGCAAGTGCGTGCATAATAATATTTCTTTATCAAAACAGTTTCTGTGTTGAGTTTTTTCGTGATTTTTTTACGCTTATGACAGTTTCCTTTTAGACGAATGCGTCTGCCCCAACTTAATGTTTTGTCTACAAAGATTTTATTTGGTGGCTTGATGTTAAACACTGAAATGCAAAAATATGAACTCCACATTTGAGGATTGTTCTTGTGTTGAAAGGTGTGAAGTGTGTCTGTTTTTTTAAAGATAAAGCCGAGGAAAGAAAAAGGGAAAATGCTAACGAAATAAGGATGCACACATAAATTTCTTTCGGTTGATTTTTTTATTTCCACCTAACAATAGGAACTACACAAGTGATATATTTTATTGCGTTCTTTTGTGGTGGAACACGAAATCTTTTTGGAAACGCGAAACGCGCAATCATGTCTATTTTGCTAGATATAAATACACTTAAACTTGTTTATAACGAGATGTTTGAAAATTCGATTTTTATATATTTTAAGACTGTTGTTAAAGTTTGAGCAAAAATTTTGATCGCAAATAATGTAAATATATTAAATAACGGTCAAACAATTATTTTAGCGTTCCGGTAATTGCATTTTCCACCCTTTTTTGTTGACCCTGATCCGTGAAAATGATTGTAACTCCCGATCAATCATTTTCCCCATTATTTCGACTCTTTCATTCAATGTTACGAATGTCAACAATGTCGTCGTGTCACCATTTTACAACTTTATTCAACTTTTGATCGATGACCACATCCATAAATGTTAGCTACCCAACATATTGTATCGTCTGTCGAATATTTACATTCGAGTCGAGCACGCAATGACTTTCTTTGTGGGAGCAAAAATCAGATGAATTAGCAGGAAGTGAAGGAAAAAATAAACAAAGTTTAATGAATTGTATCGGATTCTATACACTTAACTGAGCACAAGCACTGATACATTATTTATCAAACTCGCCTAGTAATAATTTATACCTGATTTTTTTTAAGAAACTCGGTACTGAATCAATAACTCGTCAGCCTTTGTATTTCTTTTCTAAAAAAGGAAATTTTAATTATGAAGTTGAATAAACACGAATTATTTAATTTCAACAAGAATAACTCAGGGTTAGTTAAATGAGTGATGAAATTATTTTTGACTCGGTTTAGGAGTGTCAAAATAATTTGGAGATAATTAATATATTACTCCATAGAATAATTTAATTGTTTGGAGCAACAATTAGGGAGGCAAGCAAATTTCGTTTCGTTTTGCGCAATTTATAACGTTAATTAATAAATTTCATTAATTAAACTCGGTGATATGTCATAATCGATTCTCTATATATTATTCTCCACACGCAGAATTTATAACTCTATACATAAATGCAAATAAAAAAATAAGAAATAAACTACCAGACAAAACAATCACGAGACACATTTATAAAATCGACAAGAAGAAAGTTCTGTTTTTCCAAGTGCTTATTTACTTTTCTGTCTCGAATTTATTAGTCTTCAAAGAACATTTAATTAATATCCAACAAATCAGGTTGCAAAAATCAATTCTAACTATTTCACCAAAATCTATTATTATTCTCCTCGTTGTCTGCAAACATACCGAATTTTTGATTCGTCGAAACTTTTTGTATTCCTTAAAGACTGAGCAATCATCATTTACACAGATTACCATAATCGAGCGTTCCCAGCCTATTCATTATTTGCAATTTTATAAAAAGCTTTCTATTTTATAAACGCGACGTGTAATTTTTATCTAGAACTTTACGAAATGATGATTAGACTCTTTTCTTAAAAAATAAATCATCTGAATTAAGGGCAAGGTACGGACTTCGTTATAGTTATTTTACCGTCATAAGACCTTAGCAAATATACAAAATAATCCACAGTGACTGAATCTAATGGCAATCCTAACTCCAATTTTTAAAGGTTACCATTGCAATACACAATTCAACAATCTTGAGGGGTTGTACGTCAAATATTTGTTAAGCAAAACAGTATCCGGTTGCAGTGTTTCAAATTATTAACAAAAATACTATCAAATCTGTTACCAACAGACTCAGTCTTTCTGGATCACTTCGTTTTTTATAACAGACAAGATTTTACTATCAATCAGTTGTTTGCGTATCGGCTGTGTCGTTCAGTACTTTTCGTAATACTAAAGGATATCAAAATTATACAAAATCGTAATGTGAAATAAACTCAAATATTGTCAAACTTAACGCAAGTAGCCTTTTAAGTGTGTCTTTTGTATAGCAACATGAGTAACAACTTCCATTAACAGCTTTTAACGGCCTAGGCTGTTATCGTTGTTTTAACAAACAAGAAGACAGTACGGATATGATCAAACAACAATCAAGTATCACGAAAAATAAATATGAGGCGTGAATGTCGTTCGAAATGCGGGAGGCAAATCCACAAATTGATCTGTTTTGAAAATACCATGAAAATACAAACCAATATGTAATATGTTAGCTTTACATTATTGCTATTTTAATTGTTTTTTCTGCATGGAATAATAGAGCAATTTGGCTCTAAATCTTTTGGTAGGGATTAGTTGTTCTACAGATATATTTTTCTTTTACACAGAAATCAAATGTTCGCGACTTTGTCAGTGCGGCGATTGAAATGGCACGACGTGTATTTATCATTTGAATCATGTCATTTCATTGAGAGCTCTGACATCTTGCTGTGCTAAGTGTAAGAATTTATTTACTTACTTGCTTAATCATTTAAAAACAATTTTAAATTGATCGGTAAAGATCTTTCAAACACTGTCTTTGAAAATAAATTAAGTTTTCAATATATTACGAGGATACAGGTCTTTCAAGACTCGCACTCCAGAGAAAAATGTCAAGTGCCGGCGACAATAAGTTACCAAAATATACAAACGAAGAATTTAATTCTACTTGCATAACAAAGTTGCGAGACTTTGCGAAAAGAGATGTTCGCGAATTGATTACAAAATAAATCCGATTGTTAGGCTTTATTTAAGCAGATTGTTATTACCTTTGAAACCTAGCAACCGATATTAATTTGCATTAATACTCGAGCTGCCCCTTTGAGTCTCGAAATTTTGTTAATGCAAGAAAAACTGCATTCCTAGTTTGCATTTTTTGTAACTTAAAAATTTATGGCGCAAGTTCTGAAAGATCCTGTAGAGTTCCTTCTGTTTCATAGTTTAAGCGTTTCGAAATCCCTTTTCCATTTCTATTAGGATCAAACCATAGCAATTTAAAACCAAACATTTCAAGTTGTTCTAGTATTCCCAAGCGAAATATCATTTCGCTCGTTTTATAATACTTCCCGACTGTTTATTGAAAAATATTATCTAGTTGTTATCTACTGCAGCACTCGTAGAAATTTATGAAGAGTCGAAATTGGATTTGCAATAGACAAAAAACAGAGTTTTGCACCTCCCAATCCTTACAAATCCTTAGCTTTGCATAAATCACATCTCTTTTGAAAAAAAAACGATCCTTCAGACTTCTAAGCCTACGAAGTAAAGAAGTTAGAAGTATTTAAAATAACTGAGTTGATTGATTCCAAGTTTTCCATACTATATTAAAGATTTGCTTTTGCTCATTATTTTCAGAAAATTTATTTACGAGGAATTTGTCGAGTTTTTCTCTATCGATCAATCTAATCAACTATTCATTTGAACAAAACACAGTTCTAAGCGGATTAGTAAAGTTACGGTGAAAGACTCAAATTGTCACTCAGGACTCGTCGTCTTAATAAAAAAAGTCGTGACGCGAAAATAGCCAGGTGCTGATTTCGCAATCGCTCTTGAATAAGAAATGACAATTTCCCAAGCTCAGACTTCTTATCTATTTCTCCAGTTAAATGTTTTTTCTCTTTCCTGGTGGAAAAATAATATTCCCGGATAATGAAGTAATTTCATCAATATTCCTACATAGGAATAAGTACTATAACTTGAACTACTAAAACCCTATCTTAACGGCTCATACGCTCACATATGCGAAACTTTTCATGTTTAAAGGACACGTTCGAAGTTTGTCAACTCGAAAGGATTGTAAATATTTGTATAACTTTATTCGCAAATTCAGGATGAAGTGAGACAGATTAAGCGAGTTTTTTTCATAAAGTGCTTCCACTCTGATAAATGACGCTTGATTTCCAACGATCAAGCAAGATTTATCATCAGAATCGCCAAATTTAAAGCGCACAGGTTATCATAATCGCTTGAAACGCGAACGATGAAAGAGACAACGATTACATGAGAGGGTACCGCACTGTATTCGTATAATTGAAAATTAGTGCAATAACACTACGATGATTACAGAATTTAATAGAAATTGTTGTGACAAGCTATTTTTCACCAGACGTGACCAAAGATTAATACATTCAAATAAATCATTAAGAAGAATAATGGCAAGAGGGTTTTATCGTATGATAAAATATGTGTCACATATGTAGAAATTTATTGAACTAATTATTTTTAATGCTTTATTTAGACAGACATCACGGTTTCACAAAACACATTAGTGGGTGTCACATCGACAAGTTGAAAAAGTAAAAATGTTGCGACATATTTGTACATCCGTGGTGGCTGGGTTCTCTTTTATTCTAGTGCAGATTGTCGCACAGTGTAAGTTTCAAACTCTTTCTATTTTTTCTAAATTTTAGAAATTTCAGTTCCTTCAAACGAGAGTTATAACTACATGGACGATGTTAATATTACTGGGCCTGTAGTTTTTCCTCCTGCTTATTACTTTAACTGAAAATATGTAGAAACTGTGAAGTAATAAAACAAACAAAAATTCTGATATTTGAAGCCTATAATAATAATTAATAATGCTGTTCATAAATATTGAAGTAGCCTTTATTTCATACTCTCCGGTAAATTAAGATTATCGGACACATTGTGAGTCCGGAAAATGGGCTGTTACGGTATTGGTTTCGGTAAGTACCTAAGGGTCCGGTAAATGGATCGGTAAGTGTAACCAAACAGAAGCAAAACCATGATTTTTGGTACATACAATAAAACTAAAAAAATTTTTTGACAAATTTTCTTACAACAATATGACACATAAAATAATCAGTATAAAATATGTATGTTAAAAAATAGGTGTTAAAAACATCTTCATCGTGATACGAGTAGTTTGTGACACGAGGCACCCAGTGACGAGTGTTACAAATGCACGAGGGGTTGTAAAGTAAATCTAGAAATATTCGGAAACAGAGTTAACCTCTTTATGAGTGTCATCAACTTCTGTTAAACCTCAAATGGTATGTTATCGAGCTTAATCCTCATCAAAGTATCTTAAACAATTCTCTTTTCAATACACCTGCGGTGTTAGATTTTGACATATTTATGGTAGGTAAGGGTGTATTTACGTCCCGCTGTGAGAGCAATAAAAGAACTTGACTCTGTTTTAAAATAATTCTAGATCTACTTTAACACGTGCTATTTATATTATATTTTCTATTGATCGCTTTTTAAATAAAATTTACTATTACTTTTGACAGTTAATATTGATGACATTTAACGTATGCGGTATCCAAATCGCTTGAAAATAGCTCAAATTGCATTAGTTTCGTTGACCTACAACGGCGATGGCAAAAGTATTGCATAAAATGTTGCCAAAAATAGTGTTACAAAGTTGCATTTTATGCATCTGTTTTCAGTTACACAAAATGCTCTTTGAGACACTGAAATAGAAAAAATAGTATATTAAAAAAACAAGTGTTACAAACACTCTCATTGTGTTACAAATACACAAGTATCACAATGAGAGGTTATAACACGCATTTTTTATACTATTTTTTCTGTTGGGCGCTTTTTAAATTGAATTTTTTATATTTGTCAGTTAAAATTTTAGACATTTGACGTATGCGATACCCAAATTGCTCGAAAATAGCTTAAATTGCATTAGTTTCGGTGAAATACGTTGAACTGCAACAATCTCTCATTTAAAAACGACACTCTATGGCCAGTGATGACCAAAGTATTGCATAAATAGTGTTGCATTTTATGCAACTATTTTCAGTTACACAAATTGCTTATTGTGACAAAGACTTAGAGAAAATTACTTTTTTCGATATTCAAGACTAGGCTCTTTCGTCGCTTCGTCCTTAAACATGTTATTCGTGCTGTATTATTTAACTTGTAGGACATATAAAATAAATTACTATTACAACTCTGCAAACTACAAAGTTCTTTTGACTTGTAGCAGCATTGTACAAACGTTCAAAATTTTTTGCGCGATCGACTCTATTCTATTGTTTACTACGTCTGTTTCCAAGACAGTAAGTTGTATTTACTCGTTGCTATCAAACTCGTCGGTAAGTATTTTGTTTATTGTTGTTAACGCGACAAGCATTCAAAAACGTCGCTAAAGTATTTTGGCGTTCTAGAACATTTTTTAAATATTTTTTTAAAAAACTAACAAAAATCAATCGCTCTAAAAATGTCATATGCATCACGAATGTTAGGGACTTACCGATCTCAGACAATTGTCTTTGATCGGTAAAATGTCTTTACCGTTCTTGATGCCTAATATATTATTAATAATTGGGTTACAAACCATATCAAAATTACTTCACATTTGAAAACTATAGTAAAAATAAACAGTCGACACAATTAGTAATTGGGGTAACACTAGCTATCACAAGGAAATGTTAGTTTTACAACTCTATTAAAATTATCACGAAAGCCACTTTGATAATTGGCAAAAATAAAAGAAATAACGTTGTTCCTAACCACATAACATAAACAGTAGCCTGCTCCAATTACATAAACTTCACTTGTAGGTGCAATAATTAGAATGACAATTGATTCGATTGTTTTTGACGAAAATATGGCCGGTTTCCAAAGCTACTAACCGAATTATCACAAATTACGTTTGTTAGAAGAGCAGACAAAAGAGGAATGTGATTCTGAGCGTAACTTATTAATTACTTAAGATTGTATAAAAGCGAAAACACTTTTTTATAGGTAAGGTTGCTGTCACACAAGTTTCATTTATATATAAAATAACAATTGAATAATTTATTTTTTCTACTCCTACGGATTATCGTAAATGTTTCCATGACGCTAAGTGACCTTTTATATACTTACATCTTGACAAGCCGTGACTAATATGCATATTAGTTACGTTGTTAATAGTAACTGTCGTATTAGTCAGTTAATAAGTCAGCTGAAGGTAGCTTTCTGTCATTAATTTCATTTTTAATTTAAATATTTTTTTGTGGTGGTCGTAGAAAAAACATAGTATGTAACATTTGTTTAAACTTCTCTAGGCATTCGTTTTATTAAACACTTGCTCCGCTACGCTTTGCTTGTGCCTAGTAAATCTTATGTCCAAAATGGCCTTTATAGCACTAGTTACATAATAAACTATTATCTACGACCATTAAATAATACGTTTGTTATTTACGTAACTATAGGAATGTACATTAGGCTACTCATAAATCACACTCGTGACTTATTATAAGTCACTAGTAAAAGTCACTAGTAGAAGGTGTTGTATTAAAAAAGATCGTAGAAAATGCGTCGTATTTGACACACACATAATGGCTATAACTCATTCGGATGAAATTTATACACGAGCAAACGTCTATTGTGTCGGGTTACTCCAAAAGTCAGATGGTCCATATGCGTTGTTTGCAGTAATCCTTCATTAAATCTGCAGTTCTGCAGTTGTATTATTTGGTCACAATCATGCTTTAAACATTTTTGTGAACTTATTTCATTATAGTACAACACTCTTGATCAGAATTTTCTGATGAAGTTCCCTTTAGAGAACTCGTTTATAAACTTATCACAAATCAGAGGAAAATGGGATTGTCTGGTTTTTGTGGTAACTCGACGATTTATTTATTATTTATTTTCATTTAGACACAAAAATGTCATTTTTTACGTATGCGGATAAGTTTATTTTATTACCTGTGCCACAGCTATCGCCACCTTGGCAACGTCGCAACTGTGTTTTTTGAGGTGAAATAGGTCAGCAACATTTGATTTCTGTGTTAAAGAAGAATCGGTTTAACAACTAAACCCTACTGATAAATTTTGAGCCAAGAAGCTTGACGCTTTCATACAAAAAAACATCGTGAAAAATAACAGCAGTGGCGACATGTACATGTACCTACCCATCATTTTTAATTTACCTGAAGAGATTTGCGGATAAAATGGTATATGTTATACGGGATAATATAGGTGGCTCAGCTAAATAACAAATAAATAAATATCTTCGTCACATAAAGTTCACTTCTACCCCTTATAACATAATCTATCTGCTATAGATTTGTCAACAATAAATTACCACCTAGGATTTGAACTTTTAGGAAAATTACGTTTAGCATGTTGTTTGTAACTAGAATTTTCAGAAGTAATTTTGAATGCCTAGGGTTGGTTACCCCTTGTTGTTGACGGTCGACGTTTTCTGTCAGCCTGCTGTCAGCTGTCAACTGAAATCTCCTTACAAGCTGACAGGTGACTTAACCTAAATTTTGACACTAGTTACGATATCTTTTGTGTGTCACCAAAAACCAACCTAATCAAATTTATGGCAACCTATTCACGAATATCCCTAAATCCTAGAGAGTAATTTCTTGTTGATACGATAATATTACGTATTACTAACGCGTAAGCAACGGAATTTTGTTTTAAAGTTGGCCTCGGCAGAGAAAGATACATAGACATAAGTCATGTGTAATTTTAATCCTTTAAAATAGTTCATTTCAACCGTCACTTATTTACACACGTTGAAAACATTACTTTTCTGAGGAAATTTTTTGGAGATCTCATGATTAGTTTAATACAGAGACAATTTGACCTTTGAGATTATGCGATATCACCTTCTGTGATTTTTTATGTCCACATTTGAAAAACACAATTTCCAAAACTCCTGTTGCTGATCTACGTGAAAACTTCCAAAGCTCTCCCTGAATCAAAATTCCGTTACTCACATGATATTTCTCATAAAAAGGCAAGAAATATTTTTATTGTGTTTTTGTTAAAATCTTTTGGATTTCAAAAAGTTATGTACATAATTCGTACAAAAAATTAATAACACTCACCTGGAAATAGAGAACGATCTTGCACATGGTGATACCAAAGAACCACGTGACCGTAACATCCCAGACAACCGACGGTGGCAAACAGAACAAAATAACAAGAAAATCAGCAACTGCTAAGTTCACGATAAAGTAATTAGTGACAGTCCGCATCGTGTGGTTCCTGTACACCGCGACACACACCAGAATGTTCCCAATAATCCCAATAATAAAGACCAGAGTGTGAAGAATAACCAGGATCCACGTCCAGCTCTTAGGCGCGATCAGTTCCCAAAGACTATCAATAAACTCCTGTTCGGAATACGTAATATTACCACTTCCATTGATATAACTAGCGTTGTCTTCATTCCAATCCCTTTTATCGCGCACAAGATAATCGAATTGCTCATCAATGTAGGTGTCGTTTTTAGATTGCGTTTTTGAAACTAATAACGAATTATTCGTTCGTTCGTGAGGACTTCTAATCTCTTCGTGAGCTTGAGCATGGGATAAGAGGATAGTCACGAGGAGGAAAACCAGCATGGTGAATAACTGTTTTTACGTATTTCTTGACTTGGAGACGATCTGCAAAAAAAACAACCATTATACTCCGACAAAAATTTCGGTATCCAAACCTACAAGTGATATTCCAATATTATAAGTCGACAAAGCTTGCCGATATTGGGTAAAGTTTTTCGGTTACGACTTGCGCAGCAATAAAACAGATAATATATTCTACAGCTAAATACTTTTCTTTAAATATTTAAATCTCATATAGACGAGAATATGTTCCTAAAGTCTCTACAAATTCTTCAAGTAAGAGACTGGCAAATGCCCTACTATTGTCTTGTCGAGTTACGACACGACATAAAGTTACTACATTGGAAAATAATTCAGCAGAACACAATTTTAACTTTCATCATTAATTATTATCCAGAAAAGAGCTTACAAATAAATAATTGACAAGGCGTAAAATTAATCATAACGTTTTACTGAAACCTTTTATTATTTTATTACCACTTTAAAGCCAACCTCTATAAAGCAGAGCAATTATCTTGTGATTGGCGACAATGGATGGCGCAAAAACACCGCTTTATTGAAACAATAAACATGAGAATTTGGCTTTCGTGTCGGGACACAATTTCTGTAAATGAAATACCATAATCGACAAGTTATACAGGGTGCGTAAGAACTAGCGCCCAGAGAAAAATGAAATGTAAAGTAAGATACCAGGAACATGAAAAAAATGTTTAAAAAATTCTATCTATAAAAATTTCGAAGTTACGAGAGTTTAAATTTTGCACTTTGACTCTATTTATTTCTGTTGGAAAAATTATTTTCCAAGTTTTCTTGCTACAGGCTATTAGAAAGGGAAACAAGGAAGCTGTATCCTAAATTGTAACTGTGTTCAATGTTATTTGTGGCTTTTATCGGCAAAGTTTTTGTACTTTTACTAAATAATTGTAAAAAAAACATATACAAGATCATCAGTTTCATTACATAGACACAAATAAATGTCAATCTCAAAAAATAATATAAACATAATATAATAAAAACCATTTTTTCCACGCTCCTGGTATCTTATCTTACTTGAAATTTTTCTATGGGGCGCGAGTTCTGGCGCATCCTGTACACTTGAACTGGGATGTGTGGACCGTATTTTAAAACTAAACCTGTTTTTTTCTCTTATTTTTACAAAACATTACAGTGGTCCGCCATTTCACGATTAATAATGAATGATAATAAAATAATGTTTCATGCATGCTCAATCGTATTGAGATCCGGCGATCGTGCCGGAAGCGACAAATGCTCAATTTCTGGTCTTTCCATCACATAACAAGCACGATGTGGATGTGCATTGTCGTCCAAAAATTGAAAATGAAACTCTAAATCGTTGCGACATGTGTCCACAATACCGTTATGATGTCTCTAACATAAGTTTGAGCTGTCACATTCCTTTTGCACATACAGAGTTCCGTACGGCCCCCAAAAAAAACTTCATCCCATACCGTAACTGTAACTCCGTGAGATGAGTACATATCGGTCATCAACTCTTCTACCTGGAGGCCTCCAAACACGAATAGTGCATCTATGATTATAGAGTGCAATTTTGCTCTCCTCTATGTAAGTATAGTACAGATTTCCATTCATCTGGTCGATTTACTTAGTCTTCACAGCAAACTACTCTAGCATGTCTGTGTGCGTGTGTCAATAAAACCGTCCTTCCATAGAACAATCTTTTACATCTTAGTTCTGTCTCCCTCATGCGATTAAGTTTTAGCTGTGACACTAGTTCCAGTGGCGTGCAATACTTCTGTGTTTGCAAGTTACAATGAGATCGCGGGTTCCTACGAGCCTCCGTAATCATCAAAGAATCCTTTTGTACACTTGTAGTCCTTGGACGACATTATCGATATGCTTCCAGTTTCTCTATATTTTTGTTGTAGTCGCGAAACCACACTGTGAGTAATATAAAAGAATGTTGACTTTTTATTTTAGCAACTATACTTGCATAAATAAAGGATACAGTTTCCCTATTGTCTCCTCTTCTAATAACCTGTAGCAAAAAAATGGAAAATTATTTTTCCAACAGAAATAAATAGAGTCAAAGTGCAAAATTTAAACTCATAACTTCGAAATTTTTATAGATAGATTTTTTTAACCTTTTTTCCATATTCCTGGTATCCTACCCTACGTATACCATTTTTCTCAGGGGCGCGAGTTTTGGCGCATGCTGTATACAGGGCAATTCAGATAAAATAATGAGCCTGGTGATCTGGCGATGCAACCCAAAAAACAAATTTCACCTTGCACCCCTTTCTTACCCCAAACGGTACCAGAAATATTAGCTCTGTTTCAACCGTACCCAGTCTACCCTACTTCTTGTTGTCAACATCTTCAGCCTTGAGAATTGCAAAAATTAAGCACTGTATTTGCGCGCGTATTCTATCTTTGCAGCATATAATATTTGTTTGAATCCATGTGAGACATTTTAACATTTTACTCTCAATTCATATTGGCACTCTCACAACAAAAATTTAAAATGATTCAATATAAAAAAAAAACTCCCACTTACTCAATTATTTCAATAATTAAAGTATTCATCCGAAATGCAAGTTCTGCATCTGAAAAGGTTTTGTCACATCTCGAGATGTAATAACTACGTAATGGAATTATAAATTAAAAGATTTTCAGTGGGTTTTGTGCATCTGAATTAATGTCAGGTCCAACACTTTTTAATAAACGGTTTGTAAAGAGGGTTAATGGGATCCAACCGTTGTTCTAATATTAAAACTGAAAAATTAATTTTGTCTCCCGCAGTAAAACCAGATTATTCTAACTAAACAGAGTACCAAGGATAATATTTCAAGTTTTTAGTCGTAAATTAACTGAAAAAACTTTTTTCATTAAACAGTAGTCACGCTCCACTCCGATTTCCAAAGCAAGAAAGAATGCTCGCGGAAGTTTATCTCGCAATTTTGATTTTTCTCGGAATTGATATTGCTTTTTGTGAAAAGGGTCAAACTTCAACCCTTCACCTTATAAACTACCTACATCCTAATTCTTTTTTAATTCCGTCAAATATCAGCAAGCAGCTGTTCAAAGTTCCTTTATCCTCACAATTAAAATGTTTTGCGTCAATCGCTGATCCATTTTTAATCACGCCATTAGGATTATTACGGTCGTGTGTAATCCATTATGATGTTAATTTAGTCGGAGAAGCAGTCTTTCAACTAATTAGTGGCTTGCGAAAGTTAATTCGGTATCAAAGCCCAATTAGAGGTTTTTCTTCGAGTGAAAGACACTAATTTGGGTAATTGTGTATTGCATAATCGCGCGTGTAAGACGCAAGCGCACCGTGCACCTTGGTGGCCAATTGCTTTATGTGTTGCATAACCCAGAAATGTGATTTTTATACGAAGCATTTGTTCAAAAATCTTGTTTCATACTTAATACTTAAAGAGCTCGTCGAGAAACGTTGGAAAATCGCATTTTCGACGAGTTTGTGGAATAACTGCATTGAAAAGTTCATGCAACATTGGCATGATTCAATTTAATAAACTCGATCTGGTCTTTTGTTAAATGAAAACGATCTTTGTTCTACGGTTTTACTTTGAAAGAAAAGGGTCGGATATTTGATATTTCATGTGTGTGGAAGGGCAATCGGGTTAAGTCGTAAGTTTTCTTAAATGGAAACGCTTTGATGTTTTTATTGGTTTGGGAGGATCTGCAGCTTGAGTCAATTGCAATTCGGAGTAACACAGCCACTGAAAAACGTAAAGAATTTTGATTTTTGTGATGAAGTAGTCTATTCATTTTTGCCACATTTTCGTCAAGTTCATTACACATATTTCTTAAAGAAATGCGGTTGTAAAAAGTTCACACTTGTAAAAAAAGACGCTTATTTACTTCTTCTATGACTGACAAAGTTTCAATGCATTTAACGGCAAAACAAATTAGCAACCTTCGACTAGTACTAAGGAATTATTGAAAACAGTCTGATATAATAAAATTTAAGACAAACTTAAATGCAGATTTTCATTATTCATAAAGTTTTAATCAGCTTTATCGAGCTTGGAGAAGCAGATACGCAACGATGGCACTCGTAGAACCACTCCTACTCGTAATATCTAAACTCGTTCATAGGGTTTAACAGTTAACAGTTAACGCAAACTCAATTGCGTTTCGCAAAATTGACTTGCCTGTACGTAATAGATAATGCTAATTAATATTATTAATAATTCAATTAGGTTGATAACCTGGCCAAATTTGAGCTTTCGTATAATTTATTGTTAATATTCAAAATTGATTAAATTGCCTACTTAAAGCGTGCCGGGTCTTGCAATTTAATTAAAAACGGAACCGGAAAAAATCTCGGATTTAATTACCATCAAAAATAATAAACGTGCCCTCGAAAATAATTTGTTGACAGGGATTAAAAACCAGCTTAATCGCCGAGAACTTGTTTCCAACAATAGTCGCAAGTCCCTTTCAAATATTTACTCGAGCTTCAATACTGCCAGCACAGTTTACTTTTTTACAAGAATTGTTGTTTTAGAAATCCGATGAAGTACGGACGAGCTCGCAAAGGTGAGTCTGAATGTTAACGAACAAATAGAGGTTTCTCGTTGCTTCTAGAAACTCGTATAGACTTTTTTGAAATTTCGCAATTGTGATTACACAATTATTATTGGTGCTTTCATGAGATACGGTTTAAGAACTTAAAAAGCCGCTATCAGTTTTATAAGGTGAAAAACTATAGGTACAATATACTATTATATACTATACTATGTTTTATTGCTGTTTTACATTTTAATATGCCAAGAGCAGACTGCCACTACTGTCGGTGGCTATAAACCATTTTAATTTTGTTAATACTTTATCCAGGGTTTAGGTGATTCAATAATTTTCCTTGGTTATGAAAAGGCAATAAGTTAATATCACATATTATTTATCTTTGCTTCCAACAAACTTGTACTTTGGAAAAACTTTGGTCAGATGAATTTTTTTCTATTAAAAAGTCATTTTGCCAAATTTGGCAACAACCTATCATTTAGTTATTAAGCAATTTAAAAATTGCTATG